AGCCAGGCACGGTGGCAGGTGTCTGTAGTCCCAGCTACTCGGGAGGCTGAGGCAGGAGAATGGTGTGAACCTGGGAGGAGAAGCTTGCAGTGTGCCAAGATCATGCCACTGCACTTCAGCCTGGGCGACAGTGTGAGACTCTTGTCTCAAAAAATATATATATACATATATATGTGTATATATATGTGTGTGTGTATATATATATATATTTAGTCTTACACATCAAAAGAATTAACAGGATTGTAGCAGGTGTTTAGTAAGTAGAGGTTAAACCATTCTATTTCAGGAACTAGAGTTTAGGAAGCATAGTGCTTACTGTGTGACAAGAGCCCTCTGGCCATCCCTGTTTTACAGGTCTTAGAGAATGGAGCGCAGCTAGGAAGGAGCCAAACGGGACTCCTCTCAGATCTGCTGGAAGCCAAAGCCCTGTTCCCCGGCGCGGACCACACCGCCTTCCTCCCTGGAGTGTGCAGTTGGAAGCACCAGATGCTCTAGCAGCATCCAGAGAGATGCCATCTGGGAGGGAAACCTATTCTTAGAGAGCAGAGACAGTCGGTGGCGGAGCTGGCCAACCCCCAGCAGCAGTGGGGGGACTTCAGGAGGGCAGGCGGCCAAGGTTTCACCTTCAGCTGGGGGCAGGACAGGCTAAAAGCAGGGTGTGCTCAGTCCTCAGGGGCACCCTTCCTCTACATTTGGATGCTCTATTGGAAATAACAGCATTTATTGAGGACTCGCTTTAACTGTGTCATAGTCTTTAACCTTCCAGACCACTCGATGAGGTGTGTGCTACAACGCCTAGTTTATCAATGAGGAAACAGAGGCACAGAATGGCTCAGTCACTTGCCCAAGGAAACTGTGGAGCCAGGGCTTGAGCCTAGGCACTCTGGCTCCAAAGCCGATGTCCCTGACCACCATGCTATACTGCCTCTCAACCTACTGTCCAGAGGCCAATTCTAGTTTGGGTTCCCCCAGTAGCAGACTCTAAGATAAGGATTTGAGTGCAAGTGGTTCATATGGGAAGTGGTCCCAGGAAGCACTCGTAGGGGCATGAGGAAGGGAGACAGGGAGGGTGTTTGAGGCTCAGCCCTGCTTGGCTGGGAGTCCGTGTGGAGCACACGCTTCTGAGGTATGCCACCCGAGGGCTGAGGGCTGCGGGCTGTGGGAGTGGGGTTACTTATCAGTCATTGGTTGAGGGTTGCTCCAGGGATGTGTTCATTCCCCAGTCCTCCAGGCCTGCCAAAGGCTGGCAAAGGAGGCACCAGTGACAAGCTAGAGTCCTCAGGCAGAAAGACAGAGGAGTAACCACTGGCAAAGCTGGCTGGTGTGCACGAGAGTGGTCAGTTAGAGGGGCTATAGGCAGGGCACCCCCACCATCTGCTATAAAACCTGCTTGGTGATGGCCCAAGCCCTCTGCCCTCCCCAATCCCTAGAGCAGCGGTCCCCAACCGTTCTGGCACCAGAGACCAGTTTTGGGGAAGACAATTTTTCCATGGACCAGTGGGGAGGGGACATGGTTTCAAGATGATTCAAGCACATTGCATTTACTGTGGACTTTATTTCTATTATTATTACCTTGTAATATATAATGAAATAGTTATACAACTCGCCATAATGTAGAATCAGTAGGAGCCCTGAGTTTGTTTTCCAGCAACTAGATGGTCCCAGCCAGGGGTGACGGGAGACAGTGACAGATCATTAGGCATTAGATTCTCATAAGGAGTGCACAACCTAGATCCCTCGCATGTGCAGTTCACAATAGGGTTTGCGCTCCTATGAGCATCTAACGCCACCACTGATCTGACAGAAGGCAGAACTCAGGTGGTAATGTGAGCAGTGGGGAGTGGCTGTAAATACAGATGAAGCTTCGCTGGCTCGCCCACCTTTCAACTCCTGCTGTGCGGCCTGGTTCAGAACAGGCCATGGACCAGTACCAGGGTTGCGGACTCCTTGCTCTAGAGCTCATTCAACCTCTACGGCAAGTTAGAGCTTCAAAATCACCTGCTCCAAGTTTGCAATAAATGTTGTGGCTGAAAACACAGCTTACAGAATCAGACTGATCCCACCTCAATTACCTTAGGGCTCTGTGACTCATTTGTCAGATGGGATAACAATGGATGGCTCCATATCATTCCCCACCCCCTTGTTACTCAGACCAGCATCACTGGCAGCACCGGGGGAGCCTGGGAGAAATGCAGACTCTCAGGCCCCACCCCAGCTCACTGAATCAGAAGCTGCATTTTAATAAGGTCTCCAGTGACTCCCGTGTACATTTCTACTAGTAACTTCTGAAAGATAGAAAAAGACTGATGGAGTAAGTATATTAATAAAAGTATATCTACCCAGACCAGTGGTCTCAAATTGGTAGCCCATGGACCAAATTTTCCTGGAGACTTGTTTGATTTGTCCAGGATTGTGTGGTTTTTTTGGTGTGTTTTTTTTTTTTTTTTCCGAGACAGAGTCTTACTCTGTCACCCAGGCTGAAGAGCAATGGCATGATCTCGGCTCACAGCAGCCTCCCAGGTCCAAGAGATTCTCCCACCTCAGCCTCCTGAGTAGCTGGGATTACAGGTGCCCGCCACCATGTCCAGCTAATTTTTGTATTTTTAGTAGAGATCGGGTTTCATCACGTTGGCCAGGCTGGTCTCCAACTCCTGACCTCAGGTGATCCTCCGGCCTCAGCCTCCCAAAGTGCTGGGATTACAGGTGTGAGCCACTGTGCCTGGTCCAGGATCGTGGTTTTGAAAAAATCAGACTTGGCCAGGCACGGTGGCTCAAGCCTGTAATCCCAGCACTTTGGGAGGCTGAGGCCCTCGGATCACAAGATCAGGAGATCAAGACCATCCTGGCTAACACGGTAAAACCCCGTCTCTACTAAAAATACAAAAAATTAGCCGGGCGTGATGGCAGGCACCTGTAGTCCCAGCTACTCAGGAGGCTGAGGCAGGAGAACAGTGTAGGTAAACCCGGGAGGCAGAGCTTGCAGTAAGCCGAGATCGCGCCACTGAACTCCAGCCTGGGTGACAGAACAAGACTCAGTCTCAAAAAAAAAAAAAAGAAAAAATCAGACTGGCACACAAGTCTCCAGTTCCCCTATGTCCCCATCACTCCCCATTGCATAGCACTATGTCATTGTAGGCCCCTGTGGGCATTTGAATTTGTACCCCTTTCTGGCCCATATCCTATGATAAGCTAACATTTGCATAGCATGGCTTAGGTTTCTAAATTTGAAACAAGGCACTGAAAAAAACATGGGCTTTGAAATCAGATGAATCTGAGTTCAAATCTTGATTTGACTGTTACACTAGTTATATCACCTTGGGCAAGTTACTCCTCTTTCTGATTCTCAGTTTCTTTTCCTTTTTCCTTTCCTTTCCTTTCCTTTTTCTTTTCTTTTCTGACACAGTCTCGCTCTGTGCCCCAAGCTGGAGTGCAGTGGCATGATCTCAGCTCACTGCAGCCTCTGCCTCCCAGGTTCAAGCGATTCTCCTGCCTCAGCATCCCAAGTAGCTGGGATTACAGGGATGTGCCACCATGCCTGACTAATTTTTGTACTTTTAGTAGAGATGGGGTTTCACCATGTTGGCCAGGCTGGTCAGGAACTCCTGACCTCAGGTGATCTGCCTGCTTCAGCCTCCCAAAGTGCTGGGATTACAGGCATGAGTCACCACACCCGGCCTGACCCTCAGTTTCTACATCTGTAAAATGGGGACCAAAACACATATTTGCAAGGCCACTGTATGGTTTAAAAATATGTGCAGGCTGGGGCAGTGGCTCATGCCTGTAATCATAGCACTTTGGGAGGCTGAGGCAGGAAGATTGCTTGAGGCTAGGAGGTCGAGACTAGCCCTGGTGACAGAGCGAGACCCTGTCACTACTTCAAATAATAATAATAATAATAATAATAATATGTGGAAAACACTCAAGTGGGAGTATGAATGCACTAAATGAAAGTAATTAGAAGTAGCGGAGCAGTGGTAGTTGCACAAGTCCAGTGAGGACCAGGGCATTATGATTATCCTCATTTTATGATAAATTGAGGCTCTGAGAGGTCCAGAACCTTCCCCAAGGTTACACAGTGGGGGAGTGGGGACTCAAACCCATGTCCTCTAGCTCTAGATCTGCACTGTCCACTAGAATCTTCTGTGAGGATACAAGTGTTCTATATCTGTGTTGGCTGTCATAGCATCCACTAGCCACATGTGGCTACTAGGCCCTGAAAATGTGGGTGGCAAAACATACACCCAACTTTGAATACTTAATACAAAAAAGAGTATAAAATATCTAATTAATTATATGTTGAAATAGCTTCTAGAAATTTGTGTTAAAGTATATAGTTAAGATTAGTCTTTTTTGGCCGGGCGCGGTGGCTCAAGCCTGTAATCCCAGCACTTTGGGAGGCCGAGGCGGGCGGATCACGAGGTCAGGAGATCGAGACCATCCTGGCTAACACGGTGAAACCCCGTCTCTACTAAAAAATACAAAAAACTAGCCGGGCGAAGTGGCGGGCGCCTGTAGTCCCAGCTACTCGGGAGGCTGAGGCAGGAGAATGGCGCGAACCCAGGAGGCGGAGCTTGCAGTGAGCCGAGATGGTGCCACTGCACTCCAGCCTGGGCGACAGAGTGAAGACTCCGCCTCAAAAAAAAAAAAAAAAAGAAACATTTTAATTACATATATGGCTCACATGTTTCTATTGGACAGTGGGACTCTAGAACTTCTCCAACAGAACAACATCTGAGATGAGGAACTTAAGTGTTTTTTAAAAAGTATTTACAACCCACTGCCCACCAGCAAGGAGCCCTCTGTGATATAAGAACAGTTGAAGAATGAACATTCCCACCAGAAAGAGACCTCAGGGCCCTCCTCTGAGCTCCATGACCCCTGAGGCCTAGAGAGTGGTGTCGCTGGCCCCAGTCTCACAGAAGTCAGCTGCACAGCTGGAACCAAGCCCTAGATTCCTCAGCCTGATTCGGCCACTCGTGCCACCATACAAAGGTACCCACTGGGATTTGAAAATCAGTGTTTTTACTTCAGCAAATGGAACCTGGATAACACCAGTTAGAGTCTGAGCTCCATGATCTTGAGAAGGCAGGATCCTTTGGGAGGGTCTGCATGGAGCCACATCTTGAGCCACAGCCAGACACCTCAGGGCTGCATTAATTGGAGGGGCGGCTCTTGTTATAGATGAGGAAGTCTGAGATGCCATGCCATACATTGCTGTCCTCATAGAGGTAGGTCATGGAGGACTGCAGTGAGGGCTGCAGGGTGGATCGGTGATACTCAAAGAGCCACAGCACCAGCCCCCACACCACTGCGGTGAGCAGCGGGAACGGGTCCCACCTGGGTTCAGGGATGTAGCCCTTCTCTACAGCCAGGCGGCCCAGGGCAAACAGGACACGTGACAACAGGTACATGTTGATCTGCAAAGAGGGAATGATGGGAATTACTGGTGATCAGTAGGGATGTCCCTCTTTTGTTTTTGATATTAATAATTTGTTTCATTTCTCTTTTTTCCTGGCTAAGGGTTTATTTTATTTATCTCTTCAAAGAATGAGCCTGGCTAAGGGTTTATTTTATTTATCTCTTCAAAGAATCAACTTTTGGTTTAGTTCCTTTTCTCTATTGATTTCGTGTTTTCAGTTTCGTTGATTTCTGCACTAAATTTTTAATTTTTTTTCTGAGATGGAATCTGGCCCTATCGCCCAGGCTGGAGTGGGCTTACTGGATCTCGGCTCACTGCAACCTCTGCCTCCTAGGTTCAAGCGATTCTACTGCCTCAGCCTCCAGAGTAGCTGGGATTACAGGTGTCGTCCACTACGCCCAGCTAATTTTTGTATTTTTAGTAGAGATAGGGTTTCACTGCGTTGGCCAGGATGGTCCTGAACTCCTGACCTCAGATAATCCGCCCACCTCAGCCTTCCAAAGTGCTGGGATTACAGGTGTAAGCCACAGCGCCAGCCCATTTTCTGCACTAATTTTTATTGCTTCTTTTCTTCAGCTTACTTTGGAGGTAGTTAAAAAATAATAATAATAAAAAAAATAAAACTTTAGAGATGGGGTCTTGCTCTGTTGCCCCAGCTGTCTCAAACTCCTGGCCTCAAGCAGTCCTCCCGCCTCAGCATGCCGAAGTGTTGGGATTATATGTGACAGCCAATAAAAATTACAGTTAAAAAAAAAAATGTTTAAATTTTTTTTCTTTTTTTTTTTTTTGAGACAGAGTCTTGCTCTGTCACCCTGGCTGGAGTACAGTGGCACGATCTTGGCTCACTGCAACCTCTACCTCCCTGGTTCAAGCGATTCTCTTGCCTCAGCCTCCCAAGCAGCTGAGACTACAGGTGTGTGCCACCATGCCTAATTTTTTTGCAGTTTTTTTTTTTTTTTTTTTTTTTTTTGAGAAGGAGTCTCGTTCTGTTGCCCAGGCCGGAGTGCAGTGGCGCTATCTCAGCTCACTGCAAGCTCCGCCTCCCAGGTTCACGACATTCTCCTGGCTCAGCCTCCGGAGTAGCTGGGACTACAGGCGCCTGCCACCTTGCCCGGCTAATTTTTTGTATTTTTTTAGTAGAGACGGGGTTTCACCGTGTTAGCCAGGATGGTCTCGATCTCCTGACCTCGTGATCTGCCCGTCTCGGCCTCCCAAAGTGCTGGGATTACAGGCTTGAGCCACCACGCCCGACCATTTTTTTGCATTTTTAATGGAGATGGGATTACCAGCATGAGCCACCATGCCTGTCCTAAAAAATATTTTTACAATTTAAAAATATTTAAGAAATTTGAGGGAGGCAAGTAGAGAGAGGCTGCCAACTTTGCAGGGTGCCAAAGAACATTAAAAAACAACTAGCATTCCGCCAGGTGCGGTGGCTCACGCTACACTTTGGGAGACCAAGGGGGGCACCACCTGAGGTCAGGAGTTTGAGACCAGTCTGACCAATATGGTGAAACCCCATCTCTACTAAAAATACAAAAATTAGGTGGTATGGTGGCAGGCACTTGTAGTCCCCCCAGCTACTCGGGGGGCTGAGATAGGACAAATGCTTGAACCTGGGAAATGGAGGTTGTTGCAATGAGCCTACATCGTGCCACTGCACTCCAGCCTGGGCAACAGAGCAAGACTGTCTCAATAAAAACAAAACAGAACAAAAACCCAACAACTAGCATTTAGTCTCTTATTCATCATCATCTCATAGCAAAAGGGAATTTTAACCCAGAAAAAGGACAAGTCACAGAATGAGAGAGAGTTTTTAAGAGTGTATTAAGTTTTCTTTTGTGAAAACCTTACTTCAGGGTCATTTTTTCCCCTCATTTCACTACAGAGTGGTTTTCAAAAACAATCTCTGCCCCAGAGAGCAGCACATGCATTGATTTTTGGGAACCATGAAATTACAGATGGAAAAACTGAGAGGGAAGTGACCTTCCAAAGTCACAGAGGGACTGGTGAGTCACAGACCTCAGACATGTAAAAGAGCTAAGAGCTTATCATCTTCATCACCTCCACCCCAACCTCTATACAGAACCAGGGCCCCCTCCCCTAGCCCCACCTCTATACAGAACCATGCCCGCTACCCCCACCCCCACTTCTACACTGAACCACGCCCCCTCCCCACTCCCATCTCTACACCGAACCAGGCCCCTTCTCCTACGCTTACCTCTATATGAAACCATGCCCCTTCCCCACCCCCACCTCTATACTGAACCACGCCTTCTTCCACCACCTCTACACTGAACCACGCCCTTCCCCCACCTCCACCTCTACACTAAACCACGCCCCTTCCCCCACCCACACCTCTACACTGAGCCATGCCCCTTCCCCCACCCACACCTCTACACTGAACCACACCCCTTCCCCCCCACCCACACCTCTACACTGAACCACGCCCCTTCCCCCCCACCCACACCTCTACACTGAACCACGCCCCTTCCCCAACTCCCACCTCCACACTGAACCACGCCCCTCCCCCACCCACACCTCTACACTGAACCACGTCCCCTTCCCCCACCCCTACCTCTACACGGAACCAGGCCCCTTCCCCAACTCCCACCTCCACACTGAACCACACTACTTTCCCGGCTCCTAACTCTACACTGAACCACGCCCTATCCCCCACTCTTACCTCTATACAGAACCACGCCCCTTCCCCAACTCATAACTCTACACTGAACCACATCCCTTCCCCCACTCCTACCTCTATCCAGAACCATACCCTTTCCCCCACTCCCACCCTAATCCACAACCACGCCCTTCCCCCCCATCTCTATATAGAACCACACCTCTTCCCCCACTCCTACGTCTACACTGAGCCACGCCCCTTCCCCTACGCCTACCTCTATACAGAACCACGCCCATCCCCCCACCCCTACACTGAACCACGCCCTTCCCCCCATCCCCACCTCTACACTGAACCATGCCCCTTCCCCCACCCACACCTCTACACTGAACCACGTCCCCTTCCCCCACCCCTACCTCTACACGGAACCAGGCCCCTTCCCCAACTCCCACCTCCACACTGAACCACACTCCTTTCCCACCTCCTAACTCTACACTGAACCACACCCTATCCCCCACTCCTACCTCTATACAGAACCACGCCCCTTCCCCCACTCATAACTCTACACTGAACCACACCCCTTCCCCCACTCATAACTCTACACTGAACCACATCCCTTCCCCGCCTCCTACCTCTTATCCAGAACCATGCCCTTTCCTCCACTCCCACCCTAATCCACAACCACGCCCTTCCCCCCACCTCTATAGAGAACCACACTTCTTCCCCCACTCCTACCTCTACACTGAGCCATGCCCCTTCCCCCACGCCTACCTCTATACTGAACCACGCCCCTTCCCCCACTCCCACCTCTACACTGAACCACGCCCCTTCCCCTACCTCTACCTCTATACAGAACCACGCCCCTTCCCCCACTCCTACCTCTACACTGAACCACGCCCTTCCCCCCACTCCCACCTCTACACTGAACCACACCCCTTCCCCCACTCCCACCTCTACACTGAATCACGCCCGTTCCCCCCACTCCTACCTCTATACTGAACCATGCCCTCTTCCCCCACCCCCACCTCTACACTGAACCACGCCCTCTTCCGTCACCCCCACCTCTGTACTGAACCATTCCCCCTTCCATCACCCCTACCTTTGTACTGAATCACGCCCCCTTCTGTCACTCCACCTCTGTACTGAACCACTCCCCATTTTGTCACTCCCACCTCTGTGCTGAACCACGCCCCCCTCACCACCCCCACCTCGGGAGGATCTTTACCTGGCTGTTGATGTTATTGTTTTCTCCAAACACCAGGATACCCCCGAGGAAGGCCGCCAGGAATGCGTGCGCTGGGTAGGTCTTGCCTTGTATGCGGGACTGCAGGGCACGGAGACCCTTGTAGGTGAACACAAACCATGCCAGGTTCCAGGAGTGCATATACGTGGCCTGCAGGATGGCCCACAGCTTCTCCTGGAGGCTGCACAAACACAGGCGCCCCTGCCATGAGTGCAGGCTCGGCAGCCCCACTGAGCACTGGGCATGCCTAACAACCTGCCAAAGCGCTCAGAGTAATGCTCATTCAGTCACCGGCCTCTACCCTTCATGCTCTCTCCCCTGATTCAGGCCTTGACTCAGTGCCACTTCCCCAAGGAGACCTTCCCTGATCACCCTACAGAATAGAATACCCATCACATCCTGTCCTGACCCTAATTTTCTTTTCCTTCCTAGCTATGGTCACCACCCAACATTTATATGCTTGTTTATTATCTTCCCCCACCCCAGTAGCAGCTACAGGAGGGTGGTGTCTGGATCTGGCTTGTTCATCTGCAGGGCCTGGCACATAGTAGGTGCTTAATAAATGTTTTTTTGAGTAAAAATGTGAAGAAGTGAAGGAGTGAGTGTCTGCCATGTGTTGGATCTGGGAATACAATTCTGAGAAGAAACAGATCTGCTCGCTGCCCTCAGGGGCTTGAGATCTGCTGGGAGAGGAAAATGTGAAATAAATAATCACAAAAAGAACTTTGACCTTGACAAGAGATGGTGCTGGGATCTTCCTGATGAGGAGGAGTCAAGGAGGTCAAGAGGGGAGGGGAGCTGCATCCCAGGCAGAGGGCTCAGCACGTGCCAGGCCCAGAGGAGGGGCAGAGAGTATGAGGAAAGGAGCAGAGAGAAGCCACAGTGGCCATGGGGAGAGAACCAGAGAGTTTGTGGGGAGGGTGCAGGGCAGAGGCAGTGGGTCCATGCTGAGTTTGGTCTTTATCCTGAGAAGTGAACATTTAAATAGAGGAGGCTATTCTTTTTATCCCTTAAAAATCACTAGAGGTCAGGTGCAGTGCAGTGGCTCACGCCTATAACCCCAACACTTTGGGAGGCTGTGCTGAGTAGGCGCCACTGCATTCCAGCCTGGGCGACAGAGAGAGACTCTACCTTAAAAAAAAAAAAAAAAAGTTACTAGGAGGCCAGACATAGTAGCTCACACTTGTGGCTCACACCTGTCATCCCAGCACTTTGAGAGGCCAACATGGGCAGATTCCTTGAGCCCAGGAGTTCCAGACCAGCTTGGGCAACATAATGAGACCTTGTCTCTATAAAAAAAAATAAAGAAAAAATTAGCCTGGTGTGGTGGCACATGCCTGTAGTTCCCGCTACTCGGGAGGCTGAGGAAGGAGGTTTGCTTGAGTCTGCAGTGAACCACGATTGTGCAACAGCACTCCAGTCTGGGTAACAGATTCCCTGTCTCTAAAAATTAAAAAAAAAAAAAAAAAAAAAAAATCACTAGGGGGCAGGAAGGACAACACAGAGAAAGAGCAGAGTCTACTCCTCCCAATTCAGGAATGGCAAACTCAGGTGCTCTTAAAGCTCAACGAGGACCCTGAATGAGTGAGAGAGTCCACGGGGAAATCTTCCAGGTGGCTGGGGACAGCCGGGAGCAGCTGGCTGTCACCCCATGCAAACACAGGCCCCAGTGTTGCCAGTCCTAAGGCAGGAAAGCTCGATTTCCATGTGGAATCCACCAGTTTTTAAATGTTGGCACTAACCCTGCCTTCAAAATGTGTCTAGAGACTGACCACTCTTCTCACCTGCACCAGCACCACTGAGGTCCAAGCCCGACATTGGCTCACTTGCATCACTGCCACAGCCTCCTGGAGGGAACCTGCTTCTGCCCTTGGGTGGCCCCGCTCCCCTCCCCCCACACCAATCTGTTCTTAACCTGGCAGCAATTTTTTTTTTTTCTTCTCTGAGATGGAGTCTAGCTCTGTTGCCCAAGCTGGAGTCCAGTGGCATGATCTGGGCTCACTGCAACCTCTCCTCCTGGGTTTGAGCAATTCTCTTGACTCAGCCTCCCGAGTAGCTGAGACTACAGGTGTGCACCATCACATACGACTAATCTGTTTATTTATTTTGAGACGGAGTCTCACTCTGTGGCCCAAGCTGGAGTGCAGTATCGTGATCTCGGCTCACTGCAACCTCTGCCTCTCAGGTTCAAGCAATTCTCCTGCCTCGGCTTTCTGAGTAGCTGGGACCACAGGCGTGTGCTGCCATGCCCAGCTAATTTTTTTTTTTTTTTTTTTTTGAGACGGAGTCTTGCTCTGTAGCCCAGGCTGGAGTGCAGTGGCCGGATCTCAGCTCACTGCAAGCTCCGCCTCCCGGGTTTACGCCATTCTCCGGCCTCAGCCTCCTGAGTAGCTGGGACTACAGGCACCCGCCACCTCGCCTGGCTAGTTTTTTTTTTTTGCATTTCTTAGTAGAGACGGGGTTTCACCGTGTTAGCCAGGATGGTCTCGATCTCCTGACCTCGTGATCCGCCCATCTCGGCCTCCCAAAGTGCTGGGATTACAGGCTTGAGCCACCGCGCCCAGCCCCAGCTAATTTTTGTATTTTTAGTAGAGACAGGGTTTCACCGTGTTGGCCAGGATGGTCTTGATCTCCTGACCTCACGATTTGCCTGCCTCAGCTTCCCAAACTGCTGGGATTACAGGCGTGAGCCATTGTGCCCAACCTAATCTTTGTATTTTTTGGTAGAGACAAGGTTTTGCCATGTTGGCCTGGCTGGTCTCGAACTCCTGACCTCAAGTGTACCACCCACCTCGGCCTCCCAAAGTGTTGGGATTACAGGCATGAGCCACTGCGCCTAGCCTGGTAGCAGATTCTTAACCCTCACGCTGTTAACACATAAGTCAAATAATGGTGCAGCCCTGCTCAAAATCTTACAACAATTTCCCATTGCACTTAAAGGAAAAGCCAAATTCCTCTCTATGACCCAAAGCTGGAGAGGACTGACCCAGGTCAAGCTGTGACCCGCCTCTCTGTCCTCTCTCCCCTTCAGTCCCTCTGCTCCAGCCTCCTCACACTTATCAGGCAGGATCCTACCTCAAGGCCTTTGCACTAGCTATGCCCGTGGCCTGGAACACTCTTTCCCCTCATATCCACCTGGACAACTCTGTCTCCTTCAAGTCTTTCCTCCAATGTCACTTGCTCATAGAGGCCTTCCCTATTTAATTCTGCAACCTGTCCCCTCAGCACTTCTGATGCCCTTTCCCTTTTTCCCTGCTCTAATTTCACTTTTCCATAACCATATCACCTTCTAACAAACCACAGACTCTCCTTACTAGGTTTATTTTCTGCCACCCCCTGCTAGAATGTCAGCAGGAGTCACTGCCTGTTTTGTTCACTGCTGTATCCCCAGTACCTAGAACAGTGTCTGGCACATAGCAGATGCTCAATAAACACCTGCTGAATACGCATGAGTTCAGTTTTTTAAAAAATGACTTGGAGGACAACAAAAACAAAACAAACAAATAAATAAGATAAAAATACAAAATGAGCACATCTTGCAAGTTGGAGTTGGCCTGGAGGCTAGCAGTGCATGATTCCTGTACATTCTACGTGAGCCTGTATGCATTAAACACTAGACTGCAACCTGTTTTCTGAGAAATGCCTTGAGGGAAGAGCTACGGGAAATGAGAGGAAGGTGAAGAGGCTTGAGCAAGAGACGAGAGATCAGGGAGCTTTGAGGAGGAAGTGATCCTCAGAGAACTGGTCTGGATTGCTAGGAGGGAAGTAAAGGTGGAGTGCGAGCCAAAGGCTCTCCTGGCGTGAGTGCTGCATGAGCAGACGTGTGCAGGTGGAGCTACACATGGCATGTGCATGGAATGGCAGTGAGTTCTGTGTGCCAAAGGCACCCCAGGGTGGACACAACAGGGGGTCAGCTGAAGCCAGACTGCAGAAGGCACTGAAGGCCAGGCCTGGAAGCTGGGCTTTCTTGGAGGGCACAGGGAGTTTTCAAGCAGGGATAATGGAATCACAGTTGGGCTTTAGGGCCAGGCACGGTGACTCACACCTGTAATCCCAGCACTGTGGGAGGCCCAGGCAGCTGATCATCTGAAGTCGTGAGTTCAAGACCAGCCTGGCCAATATGGTGAAACCCCATCTCTACTAAAAATGCAAAAATTAGCCAGGCCTGGTGGCGGGTGCCTGTAGTCCCAGCTACTCAGGAGACTGAAGCAGGAGAATCGCTTGATTCCCAGAGGCGGAGGTTGCAGTGAACCAAGATCATCACTGCACTCCAGCCTGGGCAACAGAGAGAGACTCCATCTCAACAACAACAAAAAACAAAAGAAAAAAAGAGTTGAACTGTAGGAGGGTGATGGCAGGGACAGGGTAGACCCAGCTAAGAAGCTATTACGACTGTCCTGGCACTGAGGGCTGACCACCTTCTCTCCCAGTTTGAGGGATGTGTACCTGCCATTCCGGAAGAGAAAGGTCATGACCAGTGCATGAGGGGCCCGGATTTTGGCTCCATAGCTGTAGAAACAGAAGAAAACAGTTACTATAACGTCACTGTGTTGCACTTTCTTTTTGGGCTCTCCTTTTGACCTCTTGTTCTCTCTCCCCATCCCAAATTCTGACACCACTTTGGGAGGGGAAATCATGCTGGATGCAAATCCTAGCTCTGATACTTCCTGGTAGTATGATCTCAGGCGTGTCCTTTAACTTCTCTGAACCTCAGTTTCCGCACCATAAAAAGGGATGTTATTTTTAATTATTCAACAACAGAGCCTCATTCTGTCTCCCAGGCTGGTGTGCAGTGGTACGATCACAGCTCACTGCAGCCCTGAACTCCTAGGCTCCAGCGATCCTCCAGCCTCAGCTCCCTGAGTAGCTGAGACTACAAGTGTGTGCCATCATGATCAGCATAAAAAGGGTTGTTTTTTGTTTGTTTTTTGAGATGGAGTCTCGCTTCGTCACCCAGGCTGGAGTACAGTGGTGCAATCTTGGCTCACTGTAGCCTCCGCCTCCTGGGTTCAAGCAATTCTCCTGCCTCAGCCTCCCGAGTAGCTGGGATTACAGGCGCCAGCCACCATGCCAGGCTAAGTTTTGTATTTTTAGTAGAGATGGGGTTTTACCATGTTGCCCAGGCTGGTCTGGAACTCCTGACCTCAGGTGATCCGCCAACCTTAAAAAGGGATGTTAAACGTCAGAGGGCTCGTTGTAATTTCTTTTTTCTTTTCCGAGACAGAGTCTCTTTCTGTCGCCCAGGCTGGAGTGCAGTGGTATGATCTTTGCTTACTGCAACCTCCGCCTCCCTGGTTCAGGCAATTATCTTGCCTCAGCCTCCTGAGTAGCTGGGATTACAGGTACACGCCACCACGCCCGGGTAATTTTTGTATTTTTAGTAGAGACAAGGTTTCTCCACGTTGCTCAGGCTGGTTTCGAACTCCTGACTTCAGGTGATCCGCCTGCCTCGGCCTCCCAAAGTGCTGGGATTACAGGTGTGAGCCACCATGCCCGGCCCTATAATTTTGATGGAAGGAGATGGTACATGTAAAAGGTCCACCATCCTTGCTCAACTGGCTTTGTGGAATTGCTCCCTCTGCTCCATCCTGACATTCTCACTGCAGCCAGTCTCATCTTTTTTTTTTTTTTTTTTTTGAGACGGAGTTTTGCTCTTATTGCTCAGCCTGGAGTGCAATGGCGTGATCTCGGCTCACTGCAACCTCCGCCTCCCAGGTTCCAGCAATTCTCCTGCCTCAGTCTCCCAAGTAGCTGGAATTACAGGCATGTGCCACCATGCCCGGCTAATTTTGTATTTTTAGTAGAGATGGGGTTTCTCCCTGTTGGTCAGGCTGGTCTCGAACTCCCAACCTCAGGTGATCCGCCCGCCTCAGCCTCCCAAAGTGCTGGGATTATAAGCGTGAGCCACCCTGCCCGTCCTAGCCAGTCTCATCTTTTTTTTTTTTTTTTTTTTGAGACGGAGTCTCACGCTGTTGCCCAGGCTGGAGTGCAGTGGCGCGATCTCGGCTCACTGCAAGCTCCGCCTCCCGGGTTCCCGCCATTCTCCTGCCTCAGCCTCCTGAGTAGCTGGGACTACAGGCGCCCGCCACCGAGCCCGGCTAATTTTTTTTTTGTATTTTTAGTAGAGACGGGGTTTCACTGTGGTCTCGATCTCCTGACCTTGTGATCCGCCCGCCTCGGCCTCCCAAAGTGCTGGGATTACAGGCTTGAGCCACCGCGCCCGGCCCAGTCTCATCTTTTAAAAACATCAATCTCATCACATCACTCCCAGCTTAAAATCCTCTAACATCTTTCCACTACTCACAGAACAAATTCCAAGCTCCTCCCTGCAGCCTTGAAAGTGCTACAGGCTTGGCCCCTGGTCAATGCTCCCACCTCACCCCAGAGCCCTCCTCTGCTGCTCCAGCCACACTGTCCTTCCTGGACTGCGTCTGACACATCAGGTCCTTCTCTGCTCCTGGCTTTGTCCTGGCAGTTCCCACTACCTGGCGTGCTCCTCCCCAGTCACCTTCCCTCAGCCTTCCAGTCTCAGCTGGGCCCTCTGTAAAGGCCTTCTGTTACTCCAGCCTAGGTTTGCGCAATTTTTCATTGCCACAGATCCCAAAACTTCTCTCCAGCACTTCATCTTCCCAGTTTAATGACTCAGCTATTAACTATTTATTCTATTATAATGATCGCTTTCCTGTGCTAGACTGTGGGCTCTGTGAAGACAGGGAATGTGTGTGGCTTGTCATCTGCATAGTCCCTAGCACCCCACATGGTACCTGACAAATAACATGTGCTTGATAAATAACTGTTGACTGACCGATGCCAGAACAGCCCTTACCCATGACAATGTCATTTCTAGAAGGTTCTTTTTTTTTTTTTTTTTTTTGAGACGGAGTCTCACGCTGTTGCCCAGGCTGGAGTGCAGTGGCGCGATCTCGGCTCACTGCAAGCTCCGCCTCCCGGGTTCCCGCCATTCTCCTGCCTCAGCCTCCTGAGTAGCTGGGACTACAGGCGCCCGCCACTGCGCCCGGCTAATTTTTTGTATTTTTAGTAGAGACGGGGTTTCACTGTGGTCTCGATCTCCTGACCTTGTCATCCGCCCGCCTCGGCCTCCCAAAGTGCTGGGATTACAGGCTTGAGCCACCGCGCCCGGCCATCTAGAAGGTTCTATCTTCAGCTTGGCTCATCTTAAAGTTAACAAATTCCCTAAAACAGCTGTTAGGTAACACTATACCTCTTTCTAACTATTATACAAAGGAGGACCTCAACTTTGTAAAAATGCATTTATAAAAAGGCTGGTACTTTGGAAGGCTGAAGTGGGCAGATCATTTGAGGTCAGGAGTTTGAGACCAGCCTGGACAACATAGTGAAACCCTGTCTCTACTAAAAATACTACAAAAATTGGCTGGCTATGGTGGCGGGCACCTATATTCCCAGCTACTCGGGAGGCTGAGGCAGGAGAATCTCTTCAACCCGGGAGGCGGAGGCTGCAGCAAGTCGAGATTGTGCCACTGCACTCCAGCCTGGGCAGCAGACTAAGACTCTGTCTCAAAAACAAAAATAAAATTTAAAAAACTGGAAGGAAATATGCCACTGTTATTAGCAATGCCCACTGCACTGGAGGAATATAAAATTTATTTTTGCTTGCTTTTTAAACTTTTCTATACTTCCAAAATTATCTGTGATTAAGCATTGCTTTTAAAATTATTAAATATTTTAAATGTTACATAATTGCCTCTTTTTAAGATTCAAACCTCTTCTCCCACCCCTCCTTTCTCCTCCTCATTTAGGGATCTAGGAATGATGTGACCATGTTTACTTTCATTGTTTTAACTATACTCAAATGAATAGTAGAAAGACAGTGGTATTTGGTGCCAAAGCCCTGCCATGTTTTGCTGTGTGAACTTGGATAAATCAGTTAACCTCTCTGAACCTCCCTTTTCCCATCAACAAAAGGTATTCTCCATTTTACAGAATGGCTTTTGGCAGTTACGCACATGTAGTTCTCTCAATATTTATCTTTTTTTTTTTTTTTTTTTTTTTTTTTTTTTTTTTTTTTTTTTTTACAGGAGTTCTCTGTCCGCTGAGTCATGGCCGGATTCAGTCACTGCAACTCCGCCTCCGTTCACGCCACTGCTCAGCTGAGTATATACCCCCGCACCTCGCCGCTAATTTTTTTTATTTTTTATAGAGACGGTTTCACCGTGTACCAGATTTCGATTCCTACTTATCCCCCTCCCTCCAATGTATTACAGCTTGACCCCCCCCGTATCTCTTTTTTTATTCTTTATTGGACAACTCCACCCCTACCCCTATCCCTGACTAAGTTCTCCAGGTACCGACCCTGGTCTTACCAGGCTACAAGGTCTAAAAATCCTGGACAGCCCCCTTGAGACAATGGTCATGAGCCACATACTATTGTCTCCCCAAATATACATGAATGTTCACTGTAGGCTTGTTTGAAAAAACAAAAGACTGGAATCAAATCTGTGTCCAAGGCTGGGTGCAGTGGCTCATGCCTGTAATCCTAGCACTCTGGGAGGCCAAGGTAGGAGGACTGCTTAAGGCCAGGAGTTCAAGACCTGCCTGGGCAACATGGTGAGACCCCATCTCTACAAAAAATAAAAAATTTGGCCAGGTGCAGTGACTCACGTCTGTAATTCCAGCACTTTAGGAGGCTGAGGTGGGTGGATCGCTTGAGCCGGGAGCTTGAGACCAGCCTGGGCAACGTAGTGATACTCTGTCTTTATAAAAAGTATGAAAAATTAACTGGTGTTGTGCACCTATAGTCCTAGCTACTTGGGAGGCTGAGGTGCGAGGATTCCTGGAGCCCAAGAGTTCAAGGCTACAGTGAGCTATGATCACACCACTGCACTCCAGCCTGGGTGACAGAGCAAGACCCCATCTTTAAATTAAAAAAAAAAAAAAAAAAGGCCCAGCACGGTCGTTCACGCCTGTAATCCCAGCACTTTGGGAGGTTGGGGTAGGTGGATCACCTGAGGTCAGGAGTTCAAGACCAGCCTGGCCAATGTACCGAAATCCCATCTCTACTAAAAATACAAAAATTAGCTGGATGTGGTGGTGCACACCTGTAATCCCAGCTATTCAGGAGGCTGAGGCAGGAGAATCGCTTGAACCCGGGAGGTGCAGGTTGCAGTGAGCCGAGATAGTGCCATTGCACTCCAGTCTGGGCAACAGAGCAACACTCCATCTCAAAAAAAAAAAAAAAAGAATGAGGCAACTTTATGCACACTGATATGGACATACAACTTATTAGAGCAAGGTGTACAGATGTGTGTGCAGCACAGCAATAACTGTGTAAAATGAGGAAATTATAAATCCAAAATTATTTCAACATAAAACTTTTTAAAAAGATGTGTGGGGGTGCCGGGTGCAGTGGCTCACACCTGTAATCCCAGCATTTTGGAAGGCCCAGGCAGGTGGTCACGAGATAAGGAATTCGAGACCAGCCTGGCCAGCATGGTGAAAACCGTCTCTACTAAAAATACAAAAAAATTAGCCAAGCATGATAGCGCGTACCTGTAGTCCCGCTACTTGGGAGGCTGAAGCAGGAGAATTGCTTGAACCCGGGAGGCGGAGGTTGCAGTGAACCGAGCAAGATCACACCACTGCACTCCAGCCTGGGTGACAGAGCGAGATCCTGTCTAAAAAAACAAAAAAAACAAAAAGGGCCGGGCGCGGTGGCTCACACCTGTAATCCCAGCACTCTGGGAGGCCGAGGCGGGCAGGTGACGAGGTCAGGAGATCGAGACCATCCTGGCTGACATGGTGAAACCCAGTCTCTACTAAAAAATACAAAAGTGCCGGCCGCTCAAGCCTGTAATCCAGCACTGACCAACGACACATCAGATCAGACCACCTGCTACACAATAAACCGTCTCTACTAAAATACAAAAACATTAGCCGGGCGGGCGGCCCTGTAGTCCACTACTCGGAGCTGGCGGAGAATGGCGTAACCGGGGGGAGCTGCAGTGAGCGAATGCGCCACTGCATCAGCTGGCGACAGGCAGACTCCATCCCAAAAAAAAAAAAAAAAAAAAAAAAAAAAAAGTACCGGCTGTGCGGCACCTGTAGTCCCAGCTACTCAGGAGGCTGAGGCAGGAGAATGGCTTGAACCCAAGAGATGGAGCTTGCAGTGAGCCGAGATCATGCCACTGCACTCCAGCCTGGGCAACAGAGCAAGACTCCGTCTCAAAAAAGAAAAAAACTTGGCAAAAGGGTCACTGATGATCAAGCAATAGCTGACATAATCTGGCCAGAACCAGTGGGAACCAGTTCTACCTGACTCTTGAGTGTCCATGGGAGCCAAGAGCCTGGCACTGGGGCCAGGCATCCTTGGGTTTGAATCCTGGCTCCAACCCTGACCAAGTGCTGTGGCCATGAGCAATGGGTCTACCTCTGAGCTATAGCCTTTTCATCTGGAAAATGGGGACAATGGCAATTCTGATCTTGCACACTTATTCATTCATTCAATAAATATTTGAGAAACTACTAAATACCAGGTGATAGTAATACACCAAGGAACAAAATAGATAAGTTATGGCCTCATGAAACTTACTTTCTTTTTTTTTTTTCTTTTGAGACGGAGTTTCACTCTGTCTCCCAGGCTGGAGTAGAGTGGCCCAATCTCGGCTCACTGCAACCTCCACCTCCTGGGTTCAAACAGTTCTCCTGCCCCTCAGCCTCCCATGTAGCTGGGACTACAGGAACATGCTACTACACCCAGCTAATTTTTGGTAGAGATGGGGTTTTGCCATGTTGGCCAGGCTGGTCTCGAACTCCTGATCTCAGATAATCCGCCTGCCTCGGCCTCCCAAAGTGCTAGGATTACAGGTGTGAGCCACCGTGGCCAGCCTGTGCTAAGCATTTCACACATATTGACTCAATCTTGATAGTATAAGTACTAGTACCATGCCCATTTTACAGAAATTGAGGCTTAGAGAGGCTAAATGACTTCCTCCAGATCACAGAGCAGGTGGGACCAGGGTTCAAGCCAAGGCATCCATATCCTCCCCACCATCCCACGTTGCCACCAGGATGCCAATTCCGGGGGGCACAAACCACTTTCTCTGGTTTGTTCTCTACTTTGTCCCTGGTTCTGGCACTATAGGACCTCAATAAATGGTGGCGGCCGGGCGCGGTGGCTCACGCCTATAATCCCAGCACTTTGGGAGGCCGAGGTGGGCGGATCACGAGGTTAGGAGATAGAGACCATCCCAGCTAACACGGTGAAACACCGTCTCTACTAAAAAATACAAAAAATTAGCCCGGCGTGGGGACAGGCGCCTGTAGTCCCAGCTACTCCGGAAGCTGAGGCAGGAGAATGGTGTGAACCCAGGAGGCAGAGTTTGCAGTGAGCCGAGATTGTGCGACTGCACTCCAGCCTGGGCGACAGAGCAAAACTCTGTCTCAAAAAATAAATAAATAAAATTTAAAAATAAAAATAAAAATAAATGGTGGCTGTTATGCACTAGGTTTAAAGGAGGCTGAGCTCCCCTCTAGGCACCAGCCAGGGCAATGACCCCAAGACCTCCTCTCTTGCAGGTAAAATGCCAGGATAGTTGCAGCTTCTTTTACATTCATTGTCAGTCCCAGGAGCCCCCTTAGCCAAATGGGACTTGGCGCTGGAGTCCCACAGGTGAGGAGTGAGAAGCAGGATGCAAGTCCATGGGCAGCTTCATGGGGACAGTATAAACAGGAGACTTCTGCCTGCCAGCTAGAGGCCAGAGCCTAGTTCCCCATTGTGCAAATAGGGCCGTTGAGGCCAGTCAGGCCCAAAGGCACACCGCGAGGCGAGGTGAACTGAACCCAAATAAGGGGATACAGGAGCTGGCATGGGAGGAGGTCAAAGCAAGAGGGCCAGGCTGCAAAGGTTGGAAGACCCAGAAAATGTGCAGTGGGAAACCCAGTTCAGGGCTGGGAAGGCGCGAAACCCAAAATCCAGCTCCCATTGCATAGATAGTGACCTCCGAGACTTAGAGACAAAAGAGGACTGCTCCAGGGCACACAGCACTGCGGCGTCGGACTTTGAACTCGCGCCTCCGACCCCAGCCAGGACATCCCTCAGCCCCAGCCCGGCCCGATGGCCCCACTCACACAGCCCCGTTCCGGAAGCCCTTAAGCACGGCCAACGCAGCGTGGTAGCGGCGCTTGCGCAGCAGTGCGTTGACGGCTACGAGCAGAGCCCGCAGCTGCGGCGGGGCTGCCATAGTGCGGGCGGCGCACCGGCTCGGGGTGCGGAGCTGGAAGCGCACTGACAGCCGGAGGGTCCAGCTGCAGCGCCCACAGCCCCTCGGTAGCGCCGCCAAGTCGTGGCGTCTATAAGCTGTTTCTGCCGTCACTCATGCATGGAAGGCCAATCAGAGAGCGCACTTGTGTCATGGGGCAATAGCACTCATCGAGATAGTTGTCTGACTGGAAGAGAAAGGAAAGCCTGTAACCAATCACAGTGGGGTCCGCCCAAGGACACACACACACACACACACACACACACACACACACACACACACACACACACACACACACACACACACACACACACACACACACACACACACACACACACACGATTTGTCCAATCAGAAGGCATTTTCCCTTGGGCTATGTTCGGTTCACTAGTGGGTTTGGAAGGAGGCGTGTACTTGGAAGGAGGGCTCCAGAAGGAGGAGTCGCCCTGCTTAGAGCTGAGATGGGCGACAGGTGATGATACAGGGAGGAGCAGGTCCCCATCCGACTGGGGTATCCTTTACCATAGCGATCTTCTCAGAGTGTCAGTCACATGGCCCCTCAATGGCTTCAATGTACGTATGTATGTTTTGAGATACAGCCTTGCTCTGTCACCCAGGCTGGAGTGCAGTGGCGCCATCTGGGCTCACTGCATCCTCCCTCCCCCAGGGTTCAAGCAATTCTCCTGCCTCAGCCTCCTGAGTAGGTGGGACTACAGGCACCCACCACCATGCTCGGCTAATTTTTTGTATTTTTAGTAGATTACAGGTGCCCGCCACCATGTCCAGCTAATTTTTGTATTTTTAGTAGAGATGGGGTTTCACCATGTTGGCCAGGCTAGTCTCGAACTCCTGACCTCAGGTGATCCACCTGCCTTGGCCTTCCAAAGTGCTGGGATTACAGGCGTGAGCCCAGCCGGCTTCCACTTATTCTTAGAATCCAAACTCCTCCCCAAGGCCCAGGAGAGAAGACGTCCTGTGATCTGGTCCCTGCCTCTCCCTCTGACCCCACGTTCCAGCACTTGCCACCTCACTGCTCCGCAGCCAAATGGCCTCCCTTCTGTTCCTTGGGCCAAGAACCCTTCTACCTCAGAGCCTTTGCACTGGCTGTTTCCCCGCCTGGTATTCGCCATCCTGGGCTCTCCCCATGATGAGCTTCTTCTCATCCTTCAGGTTTCAGCTCAAATGCCACCTCATCAGAGAGACTTTCTGAGACATCCAATTTGAAGTAGCATTGTTCACTCTGACTCATTACCCTGGCTCTTTTTTTTTTTTTTTTTTTTTTTTGAGACTCAATCTATCGCTCAGGTTGGAGTGCAGTAGTGTGATCTCAGCTCACTGCAACTCCTGCCTCCCAGGTTCGAGGGATTCTTCTGCTTCAGCCTCCCGAGGAGCTGGGACTACAGGCGCACACCAACATGCCTGGCTAATTTTTGTATTTTTAGTAAAGATGGGGTTTCACCATATTGGCCAGGCTAGTCTCAAACTCCCGACTTTGTGATCCACCCGCCTCAGCCTCCCAAAGTGCTGGAGTTACAGACATGAGCCACTGTGCCCGGCAACCCTGGTTCTTATGTGTTTTTTTTCTTTCACAAAACTTTTGACACTTTGGACTTACTTGTTTACTACGTGTTCATTGTCCATTGCCCTTACCAAACTGTAAATTCTATGAAGGAATAATGTCTCAATTTCTGCTATAACCCCAGCACTGGGCACATGGTGGGTACTCAACACTTGCTTGTTGAAGCAACACATAGTTTTGGGTTGTCATCTCCCAGAGCATTGATGGGTGACATTAACATATGATGTCACTCACTGTGTGGAGTTGTCACTGAATAACAGCTACACATTGAGTGGTGGCTGTGACTTGTGAGGGTGTCCCCTGGGACTTGGGCCATATGGTATTTGCCAGTGATATTATTGCCTCGGTGTCAGGGGACAATTTCAGAGGTCAATAAAGGAGGGAGTTGTGCTGGGCCTATTTTGTCACTGAAACTGGGTTTTCTGGGATTTTTCTTTTGTAATGGTAGGCTACTTTATTCAGTTAATCCTTCCTCTGAAGATAATGACTATGTTAGACAATATATTAAAATATCCTCTTAAAAATACTGAAGTTCCATGACTGGGCGCACTGGCTCATGCCTGTAATCCCAGCACTTTGGGAGGCCAAAGCGGGCGGATCACTTGAGGCCAGGAGTTCAAGACCACCCTGGCCCACATGGTGAAACCCCCGTCTCTAAAAAATTAAAAAACAAACAACAACACACACACAAAAAACAAAACAAAAACAAAACAAAATGCTGAAGCTCTGCCAGGTGCAGTAGGTAGCTCACGCCTGTAATCCCAGCACTTTGGGAAGCCAAGGTGGGTGGATCTCTTGAGCCCAGGAGTTCGAGACCAGCCTGGGCAACATGGCGAAAACCCATCTCTACTAAAAATACAAAAATTAGCCAGGCCTGGTGGCACACACCTGTAGTCCCAACTACAGGTGTAGGAGGGTCACCTGAGCCTGGAGAGATCAAGGCTACAGTGAGCGGTGATCATGCCACTGTACTCCATCCTGGGTGACTGAGTGAGACCCCGTATCAAACTGAAGTGCTTAAAAGTATGAGGAATGTGGCCGGGCACGGTGGTTCACGCCTGTAATCCCAGCACTTTGGGAGGGTGAGGCGGGTGGATCACCTGGGGTCAGAGTTCAAGACCAGCCAGACCGACACGGAGAAATCCTGTCTCTACTAAAAATACAAAATTAGCTGGGTGTGGTGGCATGTGCTTGTAATGCCAGCTACTCAGGAGGCCGAAGCAGGAGAATCGCTTGAACCCAGGAGGTGGAGGTTGCAGTGAGCCGAGATCATGCCATTGCACTCCAGCCTGGGCAAGAAGAGCGAAACTCCATCTTAGGGAAAAAAATATATATATATATATGAGGAATGCTCAGGCCAATTATGGAGTGAAAGCTGGCAACCAGATGGTTAACAGGAAGAGAGGGATATTGGAGCACCAAGGCTACTTATGACATGAGGGCATTTACCAATATTAAACCTGCAAGTTTCAGCTTGTCAACCACACAGGGCAAGGGGGACACAAGTGAAAATCCAGGGCCTCCCAAGGTGGGCAGCCAGATAGCAGATCTCCTCACATTAAGCTGAACCCCCAAAGGGTGCCACCCTCAAGTCTAATGTGAAATGAATCCACTGTAAAACCCTCACCATCAGCCCCCCCCCCCCCCCCCAAGGAAAAAACCAAAAAAAAAAATACAAAAAATGGGCTGCCCCTTGGCTAAGCAGAAACAGGGCTTGAAGGAGAAGGAAGGTTGAAGCGAGAAGGAGAGGATTTTTTTTTAAAGCTCTTCCTTAGGAAGTTGTGATCGTTGATGAGTTTTTTTGTAGCCCAGGGAGTAGAGCCTGATATAATAGATCAAGAAAGCTCAAGCTACGAACTGGGAACCTGGTTTGAGATGATAACCAAATAGATGTGCTCCCCAAACCCTTGGCAAAAAGGAAATACAGGCCGGGCGCAGTGGCTCACGCCTGTAATCCCAGCACTTTTGGAAGCTGAGGCAGGTGGATCACCTGAGGTCAGGAGTTCGAGACCAGCCTGGTCAACATGGTGAAACCCTGTCTCTACTAAAAATACAAAAATTAGCTGGGCGTGGTGGCGCGCGCCTGTAGTCCCAGCTACACAGGAGGCTGAGGCAGGAGAATCGCTTGAACCCAGGAGACGGAGGTTGCAGTGAGCCGAGATCACACCACTGTACTCCAGCCTGGGCGACAGAGCAAGACTCCATCTCAAAAAAAAAAAAATTGTGCTTACAAAATTTAAAACTTAAAAAATCAATATTGGGAGCAAAAAGCTATTTATTTAACGGCAGATTTGAAAAGGAACCCAACAGAACTTCTAGAAATCTACTTCTGGTCCCATGAAGAGTCAGTCACTAAGTCCTGACACATGGCCCGGCATCAGAAGGTGTTTGGAAACTATCTGGTTTTGCAAGTTCTTCCTGGGTGCTCTCTTTTGCTAAGCCCTTTCTCACGTAGATAAATAAGTTTCTGCCCTCAAGGGCCCCGCACAGTGCTAAGGGTAAAGAGTTGCAATAATGGGGACACTTATTGTCTGGTGACTATTTTAATTTTACGTAACTCTGAGTTCCTCAGGGCAGGGCCTGTTTGTTCACCTTTGCCCAGTGAGCACTTAGAGAGAGTAGAGTACTGAGTACTGCCTGTGTGCCAGGGATTGTTTCCTGAGTGCTTTCTTTTCTTTCTTTCTTTCTTTCTTTCTTTCTTTCTTTTTTTTTTTTGAGACAGAGTCTTGCTCTGTCATCCAGGCTGAAGTGCACTGTGGTGTGATCTTGGCTCACTGCAACCTCCGCCTCCCATGTTCAAGCCATTCTCCTGCCTCAGCCTCCTGAGTAGCTGGGATTACAGGCACCCACCACCACGCCCAGCTAATTTTTGTATTTTTAGTAGAAATGAGGTTTCACCATGTTGGTCAGGCTGGTCTTGAACTCCTGACCTCAAGTGATCCCTCACACCTGGACCTCCTAAAGTGCTGGGATTACAGGCGTGAGCCACGGCACCCGGCCCTAACCTTTTTTTTTTTTTTTTTTTTTTTTAGACAGAGTCTTGCTTTGTCGCCCAGGCTGGAGTGCAGTGGCATGATCTCGGCTCACTGCAACCTCCGCCTCCCGGGTTCAAGTGAGTCTCCTGCCTCAGCCTCCTGAGTAGCTGGATTACAGGTGCCCGCCACCACGCCCAGCTAATTTTTTTATTTATTTTATTTTTTTTATTTTTAGTAGAGACAGGGTTTCACTGTGCTGGCCTGGCTGGTCTTGAACTCCTGACCTGGCTGAACTCCAAGGCCCACCTCGGCCTCCCAAAGTGCTGGGATTACAAGCGTGAGCCACCGTGCCCGGCTGGACCTCATTTAACCTTAATTAGCTCTTTATTTATTTGTTTATTATTATTATTTGAGACAGAATCTTGCTCTGCCACCCAGGCTGGAGTGCAGTGGTGCATCTGCCTTCCAGGTTCAAGTGATTCTCCTGCCTCAACCTCTTGAGTAACTGGGATTACAGGTGCGCGCCACCATGCCTGGCTAATTTTTGTACTTTTAGTCGAAACGGGATTTCACTATGTTGGCCAGGCTGGTCTCAAACTCCTGACCTCAGCTAATCCGCCTGCCTCAGCCTCCCAAAGTGCTGGGATTACAA